CACATCCCCAGTAGGAGATGTGCAGGAGGCAGCTGATCGATGTTTCTCTCTCATCGATGTTTCTAACTCTCTATCTCTCTCTCTTCCTCTCTGTAAAAAATCAATAAAATATATTTTAAAAAAATGTTATTAGGAACTGTTTAAAAAAAAAAGAAATATTTGTGAATTTAGGCTGGCAATGAGACAAATAAGTCATTTTGTGGTTTTTTGAAGAGAACATTGGATTTAGGAAATATGGAGATGAGAAAATTTAAACCAACATTTGTTTTATTTTTTAAAAAAAAACTTTGAATTATATTAGGGGTGAATAGCTGCGGGGTTTTTTGCTTTTGCTTTTGCTTAGCAAAATCTTAAAAGGAAAACAGTTGTATGTTCTAATACACTCTTTTGTTGTGTTAAATGAGAGAAGATGGTAGGGAACCACACTATAGAACATTTATCTGATCAGAGGTGATTTCCCAGTGTAGGATAACATCTTTACCTAATTTAACTTTTATTAATAGCCTACTCTCAAATTTAACGTAAATTGCTGCTGTCAGGGTTCTCATTGTCTAGTTGGAGAAAACTATAGTCAAATAGTTGGCATGAAAAAATGAATTAGTATTAAAAATAAAAATTTATCATCGCCCCTCCAAAAAATGGAGAAGATTTTTTGGAGGAGCCCAAGGGAGGAAGTTTAGAATGACCCTGAATATTTGCAAGAGACTTCTTAGTGGGGATTGAATAGAATTTCTCATCAGTCTTTTTGTTTTACTTATTTATTTGGGGAGAGAGGGTAAAGGCTGTGTTAACTGTGTAATCATGAGCCTTGCCTTTTCTTTTCATTTGTCTATAATGCATAATGCATCGTGGAATCTAATGACCATGGCCTCCTTGGGGAAAGGTCATGCTCCTTGAGCAGCCTCGGCTGAACGGGCAATGTTGGACAGGTGGTTTGAAGATCACAAGAGAGGAAGGAATACACAGCCACGAGGATTAGCTGAATCATCTTAGGTGTCAGTGGGCCGCCATCCATCAGCCAGATGGCCTTCTTACCACCGTGATGCAATCATGTTTTGGAAATCATGCTAGCTGACCTATTTTCCCCTTCCCATCTCTGACTGATTCCTGTTTTCTAAGCTTCTGGTCAGCGGGGTATTTTGAAGGCTCCTTAACACATATGAGCCATTCTGCTCTCAGAGCAGAACCCATGTTGTTTTGTTCTGTGCCTCATTAAAGCATGAAACTCTTTTATAAACTTTAGCTCTCCTAAAAACCTAAATGCTCTACTGCAAACCTCTCTCAGTTGGAACTTCCCTTTTTACCTGACTCTCCTTTCCATCTGTAGTTTGACTTTAAACCCCTCTATGGAGCCATTTCAACCTAAACTGGTAAAGCTTTAGAAAGGGCTCGTGTTACAGTTAAAAAGAACATTGAATCAAAAAAAAAAAAGAAAAGAACATTGACTTTGAAATGCGATAGACCTAAGATGAATTTTAAAATGCATCAAACAAAGGAAATGAATGAGGCACAGATTTTGAATTCAGAATCTTTCAGTCTCATTGGGGAGTTCAATTCTGTACACACATAATTAAGTTACAAATGAGACAGTGTCACATGTCTTAAGTTCAGGTAAAATATTAGTTGAGTTAGAGGAAGAAGCGATGTTTTCAGCGAAGAAGGAAAGGATTTATTGAGTAAGAAGCATTTGAGACAGAGCTTTGTAAGATGTAAAGGGTATTCTCTTTTGTTTTTATTCAAATCATAATGAATACATAGGCTTCACCAGCCAGTGTGGCTCAGTTGGTTAAGCATCGCCCTGTATCCCAGAGGGTCATGGGTTCAATCCCAGGCTGTGGGCTTAATCCTCAGTGGGAGGTGTGCAGAAGGCAACCATTAATGTTTCTCTTTCTCTCTCTGGCTCTATCTCTAAAATAAATAAAAACATTTTTTAAAAAGATACTGCATTCAAAAAAAAAAATTCATAGACCATTTGCAACCTAGACTGCTTTGCCCATGTTTTCTTAAATTTTCTAAGTTGAAGCATTAAGCGACTGTTTTCTCCCCCATTATAGTGTTCATTTTCTAAAACCAAGAAAATATATTACTGAGAAGCATAAAATTAAAGATTCCTTTCATTTTTTAAATGCTTTCTTTCCTATACTCATATAAGGCAACAGGGCATGGATTAAGAACCTGTCTCAATAAAAGCTAGAAAAAAAAGATCAACTATACTGGTTGATGTGCTAATAGAACTTTCACATGTGTATCCATTAAACTTTAAGGCAACCTAACAGGGTAGTATTTTTAATTTGGTATTTTTATCTGTACCTTAAAAACAAGTACTCAGATTTGAAAGTGATGCAGCAAATCATATAATTCTAAGTAGCAAAGTTAAAATTTGAATCCAGAGCTCACCAATTCTAATGTCTGTGCTACTTTCTTTCTTGGACTTTCCTTTTTTTTCTTTTCTTTTACTTTTAGCTCATTTCTCATAACTCTCCTTTTATTTTTTTAAAGACATGTAATAAAACACATTAATTCTTCTATAATCAAACTGTACAGAAATAACTAATGCAACATTTCCTAATCCCTACTCCTACCCCTCAGAATTAGCAATTTTTAAAAATGTGTTATATATGCTTACAGATATTTTCCCTTCTACAATATATTTGTTACATATGAAAAGAATGCCCTAATTTATAGTCTTCCAATGGTGTGTAAAAATTCCTGTTTCTGCATTATCAATACTGAGTGTTTTCTTTCTGTTCTCTTGTCCTCTGGTAGATGGAAGAATGCTATATCTGCTCTAATTCGCATTTCTGAAGTTATAAGTGAGGTAGACTGTCCCCAAATCAAAACTATTTTCTCTAAAAACAATCCCATTAGAATTTATAGTAATCCCAGAATGGTGATATTTTAAAATAAAAATCTAGATAAACACAAGCAGATACTCCATTTATTATCCTTACGTGCCCTTAAAAAGTAAAGAAACTTCTAGTTAATTAACTATAACGTTTAATGTCATAATTCAATTGAGAAGATCCCTAATGTGTTTTGGAATTTTAATGGGTCTTATTATTACCAGATGTCTCATTTTTGTTAAACAAGTATTTTCAGTAGTCTGCAGAAACAATCATCAAGAAAACAAGTACTCAATTTGTCCATTGTTTCAACCAGTATTTGTCAAATGTTTCCATGTGCCAGGCAGGGTGCTTAGGTACTTGAGTTGCAGAAATAAGATAAATACAGTCTTTCATCTCAAACAGTTTAGTCTTGTGCAGAAAATAAACATCTCAGAAAGTTAGGCTGGAGGAACAAATAGCTAACTCTAAGAGGGTAAAACAAGAAGTAAACTTACTAGCTCTTATTAGAAGACAGCTGAGGATAAGGCCTGGCTTCAGGTTTGCTCGATCTAGTGGCCCAGTTCTTTCCATCAGGGAACCAGTTCTTTTCTTTTCTTTTTTAAATATATTTTATTGATCTTTTACAGAGAGGAAGGGAGAGAGATAGAGAGTTAGAAACATCGATGAGAGAGAAACATCGATCAGCTGCCTTCTGCACATCTCCTACTGGGGATGTGCCCGCAACCCAGGTACATGCCCCCGACCAGAATCGAACCTGGGACCTCTCAGTCTGCAGGCGCTCTATCCACTGAGCCAAACCGGTTTTGGCAGGGAACCAGTTCTTTTCATCTCTGTTTTTGTTGTCATTCATAATGCCAGCTTCATCCCAAGACTGATTCCCTCTTGCTTATGGGATGGCTGGCCATGACATTTTGAGCTTCCTGCTTTCTTGTTTATTTGGGATACACTGGGACTTCAGTTCTTTTAAGATCAAGAAGGACTTTTCCAGAAATCTCCAGCAGACCTCTGTTTGTGTCTCATTGACTAGAACTAGAACATATGCCTATTCTCACAAAATCATTGGCAAATGAATGGGATTAACCTTAAGGCAGTCAGGCCTCTTGGAAGAGAACGTAGGGATCGGGGAGTGGGGGGTGGTGTAAGGCTGGCCAAGATGCCCTTCTACTGGAAAGAAAGAAAATAGGATTGGAGAGAAAACAGTACCCACTGCGATAATAAATCAAGCAACTATGATTGAGCATCTGTACTGTTCAGGTCATTGTGAGTAAAAAATGACATCGGTGCCATTTTTCTTTTCAATGTCCTCTAGGATCAGAGCAGCCCCGAACCTGTTAGTAGTGAGGAAGACGGCAGTCTCGGAGTTGGTACCAAACAATTGCCATGCCTTGGAGAGAAAACAGTACCCACTGCAATAATAAATCAAGCAACTATGATTGAGCATCTGTACTGTTCAGGTCATTGTGAGTAAAAAATGACATCGGTGCCATTTTTCTTTTCAATGTCCTCTAGGATCAGAGCAGCCCCGAACCTGTTAGTAGTGAGGAAGACGGCAGTCTCGGAGTTGGTACCAAACAATTGCCTGAAAGTGAAAGCTCCAAACTGGTGAGAATCCTGGGCGGTTTTCATGCAGTGCTCTCTTTAACGATGTATTATATATGTTTGTGCCACTTCGGAGAGGACCAACTGTTAACGTTTGCTTCTCTAGGGATCTTCATCTGAGCCATTCCATATAGTGAGCGATTCATTTACTCCAAAGACTAACATACATATTCTCCCACCTTCTTCACACTTGAACCATGCTGCCTGGAACTAAAGAAGCAATCTCTAAGATTTTTTTTTAATATTGGGTATCTTTAAGCATAAGACTGTGCTGAATTAATCCTATAAGTATAGAAAGAGAAGTTGATTTTATTCCATTGATTCATAGGAAAATATACTCAGACTCACCCAGGGACTAGAGTATTAGGAGAGAGGCAGTTTTAGAGAACTCCTTCTCTTTCTGTACCCTAATGTTCAGTATTTTATTTAGTAGTATTGAACTTCTGGGTACTAGGCATTTCCTGATCCTCGTAATGTAGATGAAGAAAACTTTCTTTTACACATGAGCAAACCGAGGCTTGATGGTAACTAACTTGCCAGAGGATGTTGTAGACCTGGAGATGGGTCCCGTTTGGTCAGACTCCCGTGCCTTTGCTCATAATCTACCTTTGTGTTTGGCAGCCTAGCACTTGCAGGGTTACACTTCAAGTTCTAAAAAGAAATATGGGCTTCTTTTTCTCTGAGTTCCAAAATGTTAAATAAATGCCCTAAATAATCATTCAGTGATGCTTGGATCCAGGCTGGGGGGTTGCACTTTCATTAACTCTGCACTACTGCCTCTCGGAGAGGCATTCTTCAAAGATATACAAATGGCCAATAAATACATGAATAGATACTCAACCTCATTAACCATTTGAGAAATGCACATCCTAGGATGGCTATAATAAAAAAGACAGATAATAACAAGTGCTATCAAGGATGTGGAGAAATTGGAGCTCTCATATCTTGCTGGTAGGAAAGTGGTACAGCCGGTTTGGACAACAGTTTGCAGTATTATTTAATAGCTAATCATTATGGACCTATCACTATAGTAGGCACTTTGAAATATTACCTCATTTACCTGACAAAAAATAATATGCCATGTGATGTCTGATACAGGTTCAGTTTATCATTTTGACTGCTTAAAAATTATTCCTAAGTGTTTTTAAAATCCTGGTTTCCAGATTTGGAAAAATAATTTAAAATGCATTTCTGATGATCATAGGCTTCTTATTAGGCCTTCGAGGCTGAAATTCTCGGGTGTATATCCTGCTTGTTTTTAAAATAAGGCCCTGAACTGTGTACTTAAAATCCATTATTACCTCCCATTGGCTCTCCATCAAGAGCTTCGGGATTCTTGCAAGCAGACATCACTGTGTGATACTTATTTTCTGTTTCAGATCCAGTAGGAAAACTGCATTTATAGCAAGAGTGTAGGAAGTTCCCGTAAGGAGCAGGAGAGAATGTGTCTGAGTCAGCATTGGCCTCTCCTTTGCGACAGTATGCAAATTGCCAGTGGCTGAGTTCAAGTCCATTCAGATATGCCGCATTTTTCACAGCTCATTGTACTTCATATCTTGTATTTCTGAAAATCACTTGAGATTTGCCTCCATGATAAATTTCTTTTTCCTGGTCATAAAAAAGATAGTAGATTTACTAGTACAGTCAAGTCTACTTCCTTTACGAAAAGTCATGAGAGAAAAGCTTTTGACTTTTTCTTCCATTATCTTCCCCTCTGCATTGTAAATGAAGATAACATAGAGCCCAGCCCCTGTCCTCAGTGGTTGAGCATCTCATCATTGATGTTTCTCTCTATCTCTCTCTCCCTCTCCCTTCCTCTCTGAAATCAATACAAATATATATACTTTTAAAAGATAACACAGAGAGCAAGGGGAGCAGGTAAGGTAATCTCATGAACTGAAACACAGCAGAACGATAGGTATATATTTTAAACGTAGATTCACACCTTTGATGTTCCCTACCTTACTTTCACTCCCAGCCACTCTGGAGACTTGTTATTCAACTTGAAATTCAACTTGCCGAGAAGGAAACTATTGCTTATCAGATTTTTCTAAATTGAGAAAGCCACCTTACTGTTCTAATTAATTAGCACCAAGGGCCCAGAGAAGGAAAATGCCAGCTCAGAGCCCAGAACTCAGACTTTCTTACCTGTCTCCAGTGCCCTGTCCCCTGGATCCAGAACTTCTGAGAAATAGTGATGCCCAGCCACTGCTCTTTGAGTCTGTAAGGTTTTCACCTCCCTGGGGAAGCCTTATTTGCTGACATAATTTTAAGATCCTCTCATCTAAAACCTATGTTGATTATTTTATCTTTCAAAGGGAGCAGAACTTAGGCAAGTGTGTATTGAAGGCCTGTTGTGTCCCGGGCACTGTGCTGGCCACGGGTTAAATCCCAGTGAGCAGCACACACAGGTCTTACCTTGAGGGACCTTTCAGAACTGCCGGGGATAATGGCAGCTGATGCTTCCGTAGCATTTACTCCAGAAGGCATCCATCTAAATGTATTAATTCATATGTAGATGACCGTCTCTAACCTTACTTTATAGGTAGGAAACTGAGGCACGGAGACACTCAAGTAATGCAGGTCACTGCAGGATTTGAATCCAACTCTAGATAAGTCATCGTGCTGATGATGCCATTGGAGGGAAAGTTATGGTGCTGTGGGAGCTTTTGCTAATGGACTTCCACCTAATCCGGGTGGTTAGATGAATGCTTAGAAATTAAGCTGGGACTGACCCAGGCAAAGGTTGTTGTCTTCTTTCTAGTGTATTCAGAGGCTACAAAGTAGAAGTCCAAGGACCATTTGTGTTTGTTGTTCATCTGATAAACAAGTTTTTTTTAAATTGTTAAATTTGAATATTTCGAGGCTGAGCACTCTGTCTAGTTTGCTGTCTTATACTCAGTGCACTTCATTCATCTACATTTAGCTCCCTTAGGCCTGGTCCCTGCGAGTGTCTTCTCCTGATGGATCTTTTCTGGGGTCCATTTCATTTTCATCAGCAGTCTCTTGGTTACAAGAAATAAACTCACAACTTGACCTTTTAGACAAAAGAGGAAATTTACTGGTAGGCTACAGGTTCTTTTTACTTGACCACAGCAAGGGCAGGGTTGACAGCCTCAGGGGCGGTGGGAACCAGAGGCCCGGTGCTGCCAGAGAAGTCTCTGCGTGTCTGCTTGAGTCTGTTCCGCTGCAGACCTGCGTCCTCAGCATGGTGTGAGCGTGGCTGCCACCGCTCCTCAGCCCATCTGCCAGAAAGGGGCTGACTCGCTTCCCCAGGGTCCACTGTGGAAAAACCACAGGATGTTCTTGTGTGGCTCAGCTTGGACCAATTACTGTGGCCAGATAGACAGGGTGTTTTGATTACCAGCTTTGGGACAGAAGTCAGTGAGCTTCGGTGATGATGATTATGCTCCCATTATTATGTAATTATGTAGCCTATTCCCAGTGTTGCCTTTTATGTCCACCCATCTGAAGCTGCTTCTCTTGATCAGAGTAATTTGCCTGGCCCACAAAGCATTTTCTTTCAGGAACTCACCGTACTGTGCTGAGGGTTATCACATAATGCACACAGAACGGGCCGATCCGTTCGTTTCGTGAAGGGATGATCTCTCTACACTGCTTCCTCAGTCTTCTTACTTAGGTGTCCCTTGTGCAAAGCCAACACCTCAGCATGTCCCAGGACCTCAGCTTTGAAGGTGCCAAGAGCTCCCTTGATGCAGTAATTGGGAGATCATCAAGTTCTAAATTTATGTTTAAACACAAAGAAAGTGACTCACCTAAGGTCACTGCAGTGGCTAGTGCCATTTGTGTCTGTTCCTGCACAGGCGCCAAATAACAGCATGACTTGTTCTGACCTAATGTCAAATCGAAAATGGAATCACTGTGTGGAGGCTGAATCCTAAGACACTTGTGTGCTTGGGCGGAGGTGAGCAGCACTTTCCATTTCTCATGTGGATTTACCCCTCGGTTTAGGGCAGGAGCTCTGGAGCGGGATGTGTCTGGGTTAAGCTCTGGCTCAGCAAATACCTTAGCCTTGCTGTGCCTCGATTACATCAACTCTAAAAAAAGGATGATAATAGTCCCTAACACACAGGCTTGTGGTAGACATCCACATCTAAAATGCATACCATTCGAGCTCAGCGGCCACGGTCAGGACTCAGTAAGTCTTAACTGTCATTGTTATCATTGCTGTCGTGTACCAGCTCCATCCTTTGGCCCAGGGGTTCAAGTGTAATCAGTAGAAGCAATGGGAGAGTGTGTTGGACCAGATGCTTTTCAGAGCTCTGACTTTCTCATCTTATCAGCATTCCCCAAAGGAGAAAGTGTCCTGTCTGAGTAATTGTTTGCAGCAACCCTGTAGTAGAGTTAGGAACATGGATTTATCATAGGTTGATTCCATTTATTATCATCATTAGCATCTTTGTTAAATATTTGTTAATTGCCAAATGCCATGCTAAATGTTTTTCTTGTATTGCTCCATTTAATCCTTTTAGCATCTAATTTTCCCCTATTTTTTCAATGAGGAAGCTGAGGCTCTCAAAGGTCAGATATAACCTGCTCACAGTTGCAGAACTCTTAAGTTGGGGAACTAGGGTCACAGACTCCTATCCTCCCACCTAGAAGTTATGCTTCTCATCTTCAGATCACTTGCCTGCCTGCCATCTAAGTTTCTCTTAGATATTTTCCAAGGGCCAGAATAAACCCATCCTCTCTCCTATCCAGATCAGTCTCTCTTCATGTTCCCTGCCCTGTCCAGACCAAGTGCAGGGCTCCATGCCTTAGAGTAAACTATCAGATGAACATTTCCCCCGTAAAGTTGCCTGTAAAAAATGATGGGACATTGTGGGAGGCAGACATAAACAGCCTTGTCAATTTATCATTGTCTTCATTTATTTCAATTAATTTCCCTTGAGCTATGCATCGGTTTCCCATCTATACTAATAAAAGGGTAATATGCTAATTAGACTGAGTCAACCGGCCATCTTCCAGACGTCTGACTTCCTTCCAGACAAAGCCAGGTGGGTGGGGGCTGAGGCAGAGGCAGTTAGGGATGATTAGGCGGGCAGGGGAGGGCAGTCGGGGGTGAGATCAGGCCGGCAGGGGGTTAGGGGCAATCAGGCCAGCAGGGGAGGGCAGTTAGGGGTGAGATCAGGCCAGCAGGGGAGGGCAGTTGGGGGCAACCAGGCTGGCAGGGGAAGGCACTTGGGGGCGAGATCAGGTTGGCAAGGAGGGCATTTGGGGGCGAGATCAGATGGGCAGGGGAGGGCAGTTAGGGGTGATCAGGCAGGCAGGCAGGCAGGTGAGCGGTTAGAAGCCAGCAGTCCCAGATTGCGAGAGGGATGTCCAATTGGAGAGGGTGCAGGCTGGGCTCAGGGTCCCCTCTCCCCTCCCGCACAAATTTTGTGCACCGGGCCACTAGTAAGTTATGATAGTTTGCTTCTCTCCTAAGTCTGTACTCAGCACTCTTCCATGGGGTTCAGGACTAACTTATCTTTGTATCTCTCAGCATCTTTAATGAATTTTTTTTTTGCCTCAAATCAAATATCTTAGGGTGTGGGATTCTAATATCAAGATTTAAGCTCTGAAAGGGTTTAATATTGAGTATAAATACAAATATACGGGTTACTGGTGTGATAGAATAAGAAAAAAACTGGTCGACATAACCACCAAGGATATCTGATAGGCTTACTGCCTGATAGATCTGAAAGGGTGAACACATTTGGAAATGAAAAGCTTGTGTTTATTTCCAAGACTTAGTCCAGATGGATGTATAGAACTTTTATGCACGGTGTGTTGGTCATTTTTGTAGGAGAACAAAGCCCTGTTAAATCGTACTTGACACCCGAAATTAGAAAGAACACTTGAGCCCTACAGTGCCGCTAACTGCTTGTATCTTTCACTTTCAGGAAGATGTGGTGGCAGATCCTCAGAAGGCAATGGAGTGCTCAACCGATAACGTAAGTAACTTTCACTTAGGTTTTGCTCTATTGGGATGGTGTGCATTATAAACAGGTTCCAGGAGAAAAGGAGGTGATTGCAATGAAATCCCACCCTTTCTGCCGAAACCGGTTTGGCTCGGTGGATAGAGCGTCGGCCTGCGGACTGAGAGGTCCCAGGTTCGATTCCGGTCAAGGGCATGTACCTGGGTTGCGGGCACATCCCCGGTGGGAGATGTGCAGGAGGCAGCTGATCGATGTTTCTCTCTCATCGATGTTTCTAACTATCTCTCTCCCTTCCTCTCTGTAAAAAATCAATAAAATATATTTTAAAAAAAAATCCCACCCTTTCTTACTGGACAGGAAGTTATATACTAGTATAATATGGCTTACAACCTAGAAGTCAACCCACAACTGTGTCACCGATTCTGTGCAAGGTGTGTGGAAATATCCTCTGTACATCTCCTGATACCAACACGCCAAGCAGGTGTTTAAAAGTGGGGCATGCCCCAAACACACTTACACCATGTCTTACATGATGTCATAAACAAAAATGTGAAATGAGAGGACTTGTCATTTTATAACCTTTAGTATTCCTCGTATTTTGAGTTTCACTTCTCTTAAAAACTATAAACTTCTGTCAAATTTGTGTCCTTTGTTGCTATTGAGTATTTTCTTGTTTAAGTCCCGATTCTCATGTCTGTGTGCTTTTATACTTTTGTGCTACTAAAATTTACATTATTGCTATGTTAATTACTTTTATGTTTAAGGAACTTGGGATTACTAGAGCTTACAGAAAATATGCGATATGTCAAATCTTGCCAAAGAAAATGCCTTTGAAAAGTCCTCCAAAATCATATGCTAAAAACCTAAGTAAAAACAAATAGGTATATGGAAAAAAACTTACAAAAACTAAAGTCAGTTTAACTGAAAACCTGTAAGCAATTATTTTTTAAAGTATAGAATCACGTTTTTTTACTTTATGTATTTGCAAATACTACTTATATGTTAAGACTTTTTACTGCCACCTAGCTCAAGGCACAGATCAAACATCTCTCAAATTTTACAGTCTGCCTTTCTTCTTCC